ACAAAGGCGAAGCAGAAGTGGTGCAGGCCGATCATAGGCCTTTTGTCGCAGAAGCAAACTCAGTGGAAAAGTTTATGTACGAAGGAAACTATGGACCTGTCAGAGTGGTACAAGACGGGGAAGAAACTCAAGTTGTCGCACAAAGCGAAGAACCATTTTCAGTGGACGCACTTACTGAGATGTTCAAACAGATGAGGCCAAATATAGTGGCCTTAGGAGAGCCAGTGATTGGCAAAAGAATAATCAAGGAATCTTGAATGGATTCTGAATTGCAAAAGCAAATGGCCGATATTCAGACCTTCAAAGCCAGACTGATGGTTTTCAATAAGGAATGCAATGACAAAGCAAAGGAAGAGACTGCCCTAAAAGCGTTGAAGGACAAGTTGGCAGTATTCGAGTTAGAGCAAAGCCTTGGCCGAGAAGTCAACAAAGTGGACTGTTTGGAAGAGGAAGTACTTACAAAAGAACTGGACGATGAAGTGATGCGGATTGCCAAACCTGGATACGCTCAAGTACAAGACCCTCTGATCAAAGTAAATATTGGCAATGAAGGAGAAGATCACCCAACGTTCATCAGTCAGATGCTCGACCAAGAGGTTTGGAATTCCACAAAGGCCCCAGCGGCAAAGAATTCAGAAAATGAGGGCCATGAGTGCAAGGAAACAGCTGACCCACCGCCGCCTGTTCAACTGCCTCCGCATTGTTGAAGAAAGGACCCAAGTAAAACTCATTACGTCCAACATCGGCGGGCGCGAGAAAACTTGGGGTTACGTATGGACGACTCAGAAGTTTCTGAAAGTCATCAAAACTAAAGGAGTCGCTAGCTTGAGATTGTGAAGCAGCCATTGAAGAAGGAACGAAGCTTTTCAGAGTTACGTGAATCGTGAAGGATGCGCAAGAAATATGAAACGTGATTTGGTAGCAGTAAAATGGCGTGTTTGGAGTTTATAAGGGTTTGCAAAGCGACGCACCTTTTCAAGTTATAGAGGGAAACAATGATTGAAATTCTTTGGGAATCGCGAACATTGCTGGAGACGTGAAGTGAATATGGCAAAATTCAATAATTATTATTAATTCTGCCATATTGGGGGGTAATTGTTGACACAAAAAAATTCAGCCCAAATCGAACAGCCCAGAGAGTAAAGCCCAATTGGAGGACCCCCAAATCAGATAGCCCAAAGAACGAAATCCAATTGAACGAATCAAGGTGAAGGCCCAAATAAGGGGCCCAATAGTGCGGTAACGCCATCGCCCAAGTTTGCAAGTCGCTCAGAGTCTGAACGAATAGAGTGGCATACGGTCGCCCAGAGTCTCGCCCAAATCTTCAAGTCGCCCAAGGTATCAACAAACATAACGCATTATGATTATCAAGAAATGCAGTTATTGAGACAGTTGCTAAAGTAACCTTACCACGTTCCACGACTCAAGGGGTTCAATCGAAAGCGATTGAACGATGCAAGATACTGGCAGCAGTTAAAAGGACAGTTTCATGACAAAATGGCCACTACAAAGAAAGTGGGTAGTTATAGGGCGATCAAGCAGTTTTTTAGAGCAGTTAATCACAAAGGAATCGCCTATGAAGTATAAAAGGGAGAAAGAACATAGAAGCAAGGGACCGAATCCAAAACTCTCGAACAGAGAATATGTAACTTTCATTTCTTTAGCTTTTAGATTTAAACACTTCCTTTTCTGTAACTCGTGTGCTTGCGCCCCTTGGAGGCACGTTGTTTTCCGTTTCCAATTGTAAAGTTCATCGCCAATAAAAGGAACACCCCTTTTTGGGACTTTGTCTCAAGAGGTTTCGTCCCTTACACAATCGTCTGATCCTCTTTAATTGTTAGCGAATTAACACGCGCGAAACAGTCTCCAACCTATTGTGCCATCACAAGTTAGTGTCTATATATTGTACATCACGAACACTATAACTTTTGGATGGAGTCGAAGAGTAAAAAAACTAACTTTATGAAGTTAAATGAGTGTTATATGATGGTTGCCTTTGTACAACTATAGTAGAAATTTGAAGAGAATAATTTTCTCATTTTCCAAAGTTATTTCTTCAGAATTGCTACAATTTTCTTATAATGTGCCATTGGCCTTACATGATCGAAATCATTACAATGATCGCGATGTGAACGTTGTATTCTTCTTATGTCCCGAACCTAACAAATCCAGTGTTCCCCTCCTCTCCCAAAGCCTAATTTAACTTGATAAGTTCTTGGATTGCGACCTTATGTGCTCCCTCCCTCTCTACGAGTTGGCTGACAAGAGAAGTATATTCATCCTCTCTCTCCTTCAAGAACTCCTCAAGAGATTGTAGCAATTTCCATGCCTTAGCTAGTCCCAAGGACAAAAACGAGAAATTTTTAGAAGAGATTTATCATGATCCAGATGAAAAAGAATCAGCATATGTTTACTTTCATTTCTTTTTCTTTTTTACGAAAATGTCAATTGTTAGTTTCATTAACAAGAGTCACTGTTCCCATTTCCAGATATAAATAATTTTAGCCTCTTATATAATGACGTATCAAAATTTTAGTAATAACTCGTGAATGTTGACTGTACTGTAACCCTATTATTAACCTTGTTGCTAGATTTTGTATGGATTGATGTCACATGCGTTCTGTAAGAAGGTGATTGTTGTTTTGCCACCCCTAAAGGTTGGCATGCTACCTGTTAATCTTCAACTATCGTGTCTCGGCCTACAGTAAGGCAGAGTAACATAATGGGGAACATTATGTCTTGTTCTGCACTGCATCTCTCGCCTTGTGTGAAGATTTCACCACTTGCATTTGGCCTAAAACACATCAATTGATAGTGGCACACCTTGAAGAATTTTAGGTAGTGGTTGATTTACATTTTCATTTTCAAAACGATTTTTTATTTTCCCCGAAAACGACCCGTTTTCCACGTTTTGAGCGTTTTCGACATTTATAACTGAAAACGCTGAAAACGAAAAAAAATCGTTTTACGTTTTCAATTATAAATTTTAACTCGTTTTCGAAAATGCGTTTTCGGAAACGACGGACCAAACGCGTTTTCGAAAACGGAAAACGAAAAATGGGCCCAAACAGTCCCATGGCACGGATATAGTGTTGATATGTATGCTTCCAGCAACTGTTTTTAATGTGCAGAATATATCGAAGCATATGATATAAACATCAATTTCGGAATTCGGTATCAGACGGTAATTTGATACCCCAATGAACATCAATCACTTCAAGAGAAGTCCCCAAGAGCAGCAATTGGGAAGGTCAAGACTCAAGAGGCAATGACATTAAGAAGATGGTCCATAAAACACAACTAATGTGCAAAAGTATAAAGATAGAAGTCCTCAAAACATTGTAATAGTTCAGATAAATGCTTTGATAGAAACCGAGCAAACCAATAAGAGGTAAACATGATTTTTCAGAAAAAGTTCAAATCGTAAACACAATAATTCCCCAAAAGATTATTTGGGGAGATTATTAATGAAGAAAATCTACAAGTAACAAAAAATGCAATACAGTGTTCAAAATAATTTATTTCATCGACGTCCAAGAGGGGCAGCAGAAGCTTTATTGAATTAGCCCTCGAGTGCTGATGCTCCAGAAATAATCTCTATCAATTCTGTAGTGATAGATGCTTGACAGGTTCTTCTATAAAAAATAAAAAATAAAAATAAAAATACAGAACAGAAGGCAAAGATCCCAGTTAGAATAATGAATAAGAGGGCTATTAGCAGAGGGGAGTCATTCATAAAATTCGCCATGATACAAAAACGTTAATCATATTTCTATACTATCCAGGTGCATGTTCGAAAATATTGGTAAAGCATGTTTAGCAGGGATTTTCGGGAATATTGGACGGTAAGGCAGTACAAAGAAAAAAAGATGCTAAAATCTTGTTCATATGCCGTCCCATATTGTGCATCAGTCATGCATCATGATAGAGTCGGTTCAGACCAAACCTGTTATAGGTGAGTGTGAGGCGATCAAGCATGTCTCTAGTATTTCTGCTGAGTTGTCCACTGCAGATATTCTAGCTCACTGTTCACTGCAAGCATTTTCTAGGACTGCATTGAACATGACCTGAAGAAAACATTAAAAGCATTTCATATTAGACAGAAAATTAAAGTGTGGGTTATATCCTTGGCCTGGTTTTTTCCAATCAAAATATGGTAATGAAGGTAGACCATACTCAGGAAAACTGGAACTCTGTTAGGTTCTGAAGTACTTCTGACTTTGTTTCGCCACCCTCAATTTCATAATTATCCAACTCCTCAAGTTTTCCCCCTGATTCAGCTTCTCTCTCCACAACATATATTAGCATGAAATAGAATTAATATCCTAATAGAGAGCACTCATATAAAGATTCAAGTCGCTAAATTCACGCCATTGATGACCTCTGGAGATGATACAGTCGCAGCAGTTGGCATAAATGACAAAACTGAATGGAACAAGCACAGACACCTGCAGTGCCAAAAACAGAACTTGAAGAGTTGAAAGAGAAATATATGTTCCAGCAACAGGATTCACGGGGTTTCTAATTTCTTATTTCTGACAATTCCAGTAAGAATTAAAGATACAATTACGTTTAAAATTGTATTAAATGTTTTTCCACGTGTCTTTAGTCCATCAAACAATTTAAGGCAAAAGTTGAAGCAGCTGCAAAGGCAGCTCACAGATAGGAAAACATTGCATACAGGACTGTCAAATTAGAGAATAAATCAAGTTTCCAGTAATAGATTGCCACCATTAAGCCTGTCCCAATCAGGTCAGGTGCAAGCAGGTGTCCACCAAGCCCCTGTTTGATAGGCTTTTTTTCAAAACTCTTTCTATGTACTCATTTTCAACCACACATTCACACAATAAGATATTCTGCATGTAAACTCAAAACTTTTCCCTACTTTTTTATCAAATATTCTCCAAAAATTCACTATTCAAAACATTGTTATTCCCAAATAATGGCCATCAAACAGAGCTAAATTTATAGATGAAGTGCAAAATGTCATCATGGCGGGTCCTTATCTAGCCAAACAAAGCTCGACCATACTCAGCTCATTTTTACACCAACGTTTAAGTCTTGACTACAAAGAACACGGACAAAAACTTGGGATTCTTTATGAAAATCGAAGGAGAATGTTTTCTTTGATATTTGCAAGAATGATTTCTTTGATATTTTCTTGAAAATGTGTTCAAAAGACAAACCTGATGTAGTTCAGGGGATTCTTCTGCAACTCAGTTATACAAAACTCGATGTCTTTCTTGGAATCCCTCACAAGTTGGGCCTTGGCATTCTCTTTCAAAACGACGTATACTATCCTTTTCAGGACCTATCAAGTACCAGAATGAAAAATAATGAACAAAACTTCGCCAATGGAAAAAAATGAAGTCCACTGCATCAACAAATTTATAATATACCAGAGTTTAATTTATGAAGAGCCCTGTTTATCTTGGCAGACGTAGAATTAATCCCACCACAAAGACCTTTATCAGAAGAAATTGTAACAATAAAATTCTTCTTAACATCAACCCCTAAAACATCAAAACATGAGGAAAGGTAAGTACCGGAAAAGTCATTGCTATCACTGGAACTGGAATCATGCAGTAAGTTCAATGAATAAAGAGTGTGGCGTTTATAAAAATCATAGCCGAGAAAAGAATATCCAGCATTCTCTTAAGAAGCTAGATGTGTGAAAGATACACCCGAGAGAAATTGTAGAAATATGTCAGCAGTATTAATGGATTATAGATGGCAACATCAATTTATAGTAAAGGGATCCCTTATTCTGGAGTGGTAACATGACATGCCTCTACAAACAATACAAATAAGCACAAATTGCACCAGAAGCCGAGCTGGGTGGTGATGGAGGCTCAGAGAGAGACAGACAGCGTGGTGTAGAACTTGTATTTTTAGTTTAGTTATGCTGTCTCCTCATGGAAGCGGGAATATACTTGAAACCCTCATCAAGGTTGAGATCTTTGAGACAAATGTCTAACGCTATGTAAGGATGTGTGCAACCTTTCCTACTTGTAAAATACTCTGATTGCTATCCCTAATTAAGTATTGGTCCATATGTAGTCTTGCCTGACTTTTTCATCAATGTCAGAAGTTTGTAAATTGTTTTCATAGTAGATCTCGGAAACATTATAGTCAGTCACTGTCTCTCATAATTCCCCAGTACATCTTGTGATCTCATTAGGTTGATATCTCCATAGTTTGTACAATCTTGAATACATCCACCACCTCACAAAGAGGACTACGGCATTTTTCTTCCATACCTCTACTTTTTCACATTATATTGCTGTGCAGCAAGAGGGCAGCACCAAAACAATTTACTAAAATGCACCACATGTAAAAATATGTTTACAGTGAGTGGGACCAACTCATGTAGAAGGATTTTGCATACAAAGTTTAAGGGCAGAGACCAAAAAAAGAACAGAAACATCTAAAAGCATGTGTAAGTAAGGACATAAATTAATAAGAACTCTAGGATTGATATGTAAATAAAAATATTTTAATGAAACTTACTTGGGGTATCGCCAAGAAGAGCAGTGAACGGCTGCCATAGGCCACATGAATTTTCAGCTCTAGTCTGAATTGCACGAAGCTTTGACACGGCAACCATCTTCATTGCCTTTGTAATTTTCTGAATATTCCTAACACTTTTCACTCGGTTAAAGACTGCATATTAAAGTTGATCATCAAAAAAATTAACGATGAAAAGTTCAGGTTGATCATAAAAAAAAAGTTTTGCTAATATTAAGGAAGCTTCAACAATATAGCACATAGAAATTCAATAACGATTCTTACCAACTTAAGTGGAAATAGATCGAACTCCAATAAAAGCCTGATGCCTGTTGGCACATGCTACTTTATTTACAGACAAATAAATAAAAATACAAATGATAAAGGAGAATAAAAGCCTGATCCCTGTTGGCACATGCTACTTTATTTACAGACAAATAAATAAAAATACAAATGATAAAGGAGAATAAAAGTTATAAATGATTCTTCAGAAGCAGAGAAGGTACTTGAGACAAAAATAAAATGTAGCTACAAGAACATAAAAAAAGAATTTCACTAACTCAGAATGTTCAATTATACTACTACACAAATGTGTCCATTTAGCATTCCAAATGGCACTTTATATATAGGACTTAGCACTTTCAAAGATCTTGAATTAGAAAGCTAACAAGTAGTATATTTTGAGCCTACCACTTTGATGATCACAAATTAGTCAGATCCATAAGGTGTATTGAACGATTGAAACATAAATACGTTCTGAAGCATTCAACTTTCCCTATGCAACTAATTAATCAATAATAAAAGTACATTCGTGAGAGATAAAAGTTCAATAGCAAAAGATAACCTTAATGCAGCTTAGGTTTCCCAAGCGAAATATGCTAACAGTATATTGTTCGTGTGAAGAGAAATTTGTTAACCATTCTGCACGCAAATGTCGAAAAGAAATAAAGGTTACACTTTCTTTTGTGCACAACAACCCATTTTACCACAGCCTTATCTGAGGTCATCTGATTTTTCATGAGATATCAAAGACCAACAATAACATACAGCATCTCCAATGGTTAATCATCTTTTCAATGCTAAAATAGTGAACATATAACAATATTTACCATTAAATCTTCAGTCATGATTGCATGGAGATATAATTAGGAAAACAAAAGTAATATAATATAGATCAGTATTTTCTTTTCTACCCAGTTGCATGTATCATCGAAATAGGAGATTAGCTTTGAGATAATTTACTAATAACTAGTGAGGAAAACGTGCAACAGGTGAATGTTAAATATAAGTGTATGGTGGTCATTGAACAGACATGCATTCTTAAAGAAGCAGCCAATCTAACAGCTGCCACTTTCTTCCAAACTTGCTATAGAAATATTAGGAATACAATTAAATAGGCAGAGTTTTAATGTTGGGATTATATAAAAAGGGCTTCTCAAATACGAATTCTCCATCAAGATTTTCTGAGCCAATTTTAGAACCTTCAATTTGTTTAAACATTCCACACCTGCTTATTCATTTCTAGATCACATACCCCTCCATCAAGTCAATTTGTTAGGTAAAATATAAATGATAGGATATGAATTGTCTCTGCAGACTCCTTTCTTATGATTCATTGCCAAAAAACAGTAACAAATTCCCTTTCAGAAGAACTGATTGTGATATTCTTCTAACTGTAAAATATAATTATTCATAATACGCTAAGCCTAAATCTCAATTGATCACCTTCCTTTTTCACTCTTTTTAATTCCATTACTAAACACAAAATAATCGAATTCAACAAATTGATTACTGCCTCAAAAGCTATCATCCTAGGTCTACAAAACAACGTAATTACCTTCTCTTTTGTTAGGTGGTCATTCTATTCTTCTAAACTCTTCTTCAAATGCAATCCCAATATTCTTGCCTAAAATTAACATGGATGATGTAATACATATAAATATAAACCTTATAAGAAAAGGAAACAAAATCACCTATATGATACATCATGAACAAGCGGAAACAAATGATGATGATATGATTGACATCTAATATGAGTCTATTTATATACAAATCTATGTAACATAGTTAAGATTAGACATGATTACCTACTATGATGACTATGGTATTTCACACGGAGATCGTAGAATGTGATTTTAAGGGTACATGGTCCAAGCTCTGGAATCATTATCTTGTAGTATTCTTTCTTATGGATGATGTTGATTTTCGTACTCCAAATGCACTATGTATCTAATTATTAACTACAAATATGTCAAAAATTATTTCATATCTAACATAGAATAAGGCAAAAGAAAATAAAATTTAATACCTAAAATATGCGAACAAAGAATAGATAAATAGAAATTACATCAACACATTCAAGCAGAAGGTCGAACCTAATAAGAAGAAACCCAACCAACGACCTAGATCCAGTAGGATTGAAATAAACCGAACAATCTAAGAAAGTGAAAAGGAATTAAATATACCAAGCAAACATTAAAATCAATTGTAAGAAAAAAGAGTTCAAAAGATTCAAAACACCATCTGCTTCTTTCTCTATCATCTGTCACCACCCCAAAGTCAACCCAGTTATCAAAATGTCCATTTCCCGGTAAACAAATTCTAGACTGTCAAATGCATCCAAAATGAACAATGAAATGCAAATTAGAGTCAAAGAAGTTCGATGGAAGAAAAGAAATAAAAACAATACAATAACAATTTTAAGAATTATTTTAGAACATTGTCACCATAGTTTTCACCGGAACTATCTCCTCCTTAAATTTCCCAGATGCAGTTGCGGAAGCAGCCCTTCTATGTGATTCGACCCGAGAAGATAGTTAAGAAGTCATTAAGGACATAGATAATTTGAAGCAGCCATCAATTTGGCAGATCTATTCAACTAACGGCAGCCTGATCTTTCTCCTGCCTTGTGACACCAAAACGGTGGGCAACATTTTCTGAAGTAACACCCATTGGAAGAAGACAATTCCGTGCTTGTTCCATTGATTTTACCTGGAGTATATAAGACGTCAAACATGAAAAATATGACTATGGAACTCCACTAAATAAAATTTGTGTAAGTTATATTGTATGAAAGCAATGAAATATACTTTTGGATTGACATCTCCTTCCCAAGTCATAGGATTGGCAGTCATAGATTCAAGCTCAGCACCAAAAGATTAAAATACAAGAAATTATTCAAAATAATCAAAATCTAATTTTATTTTTACTCCTAAAGTTGTGCTTATTGTTGCATGTTCTTAATGCCAGTTCCATCACTCATATTATGCAATAATTTCTTGCTAGGACATTGTCTTCCTTCTTCTATCACATTTCTTAGCTGCCAGCTTGTAGGTTTCATTAACAAATGACTGTACTCCTTCCTTCCCATCTGATTTTGAAAGATTAAATTGTTCAGGTTCATGCTGCTTTCTATAACTACGGAGCTTTACTCGCTGATCTGGTAATTTAGTAGAGTTCTTGGGTGTCTCTGTTGATCCTGAACACGCTCCAGATTTGAAAGCTTTAACTGTGGCAAATGCTGATCCTCTGACTTGGAAAAGCCAACACTTCCATATAACGCATAGTTGCTGCTTCTTTAGGTTCAGGCAGCCTACGGTTACGCAATGATTGACAAAACCCTTTGGAACTCACAAGTTCTAGCCCTGTAGGCCCAACTGATCTATTCTTTAGTGGTCCAAATATCAAAGGCTTCTGAGTAATTGAATGCTCCATATTAGTCAGTTCCAATTTCACACCTTCAGCAGAATCAAGCTTTTCTGAGCTACTGTCTAACAAGTGCAATTTTTTTTGTTACAAAGGGGCATTCTTGCGCACCAAAATCACTCACAGAGTAGATCCCTAATGGCAATAGTTCTCAACTTGACTCTTAAGTCAGGAGGCCTCTGACTTGAAAGTTCAGAGCCGTTATCTTTGGTTTTGTCCGCTTCTTGCAGCTGTATTTTGTCGCCTCTAAATATTTGTTTTCATCCAATTCCATCCTGCTGGTAGGCACTACTCTTATTGACTCAAAGTCAGGAGGCCTCTGACTTGAAAGCTCAGGGCAGTTATCTTCAGCTTTGTCCCCTTTTTGCTGCTGCTGTTTTGCTCCCTCCAAATACTTGTTTTCATCAAATTCCATCCTACTGTGAAGCTCAATTCTTATTGACTCCAAACCCAGAGGCTTCTGACTTGAAAGTTCAAGACAGATATTTTTACCTTTGTCCCCTTCTTGCTGCTGTGGTTTCACCTTCTCCAAATACCTGTATTCATAGAATTCCATGTTACTGGGAGGTTCATTGGACAAAAGGCTAGGATCAAAATCATCATTACTTTCTCTAATGGTATATGATAGCAACCTCTCTTCCTTATCCTCTTCTTTTTGCTCCTCTTTCCCATACATTGCATTTTCACTCAAATGATTTTCTAGGCCTCCAGATTCCTTGTGGTCTTCAGTTACTTCATTTTGATCTCCTTTTTGCCGATTATTTTTGCTTAGACTCACGTCTCTTACGCAGCTTTATCGTTCCCTCTTCCAATCCCAGTTCAGTTTCCATTTCTTCCTTCTTTTCTTCCTCTTATGTCTTATGCTTGATATCAGATTTGGAATTGCACCGGCAAGCATATATCTCTGGCCACGAGTCACAACTTCCCCAGATTCACAAAGTTTTTCAAGATGATGTTTCAGTAATGTTAAGTGCACCCATGGCAAATTCTTATATTCCTTTTCAATAATCTTCGATATGGAATCCTCGCTAGAACCCCATTTCTCATTCAATTCCTGAAGCGCCGTTCTATCATCTGAAAATAGGAGACACTATAGTTAAAACCAAAAATTAACAAACCACACCTACATCTGGGATTACCCATTTGGAAAATAATCATACATGTCAGCTATATATAGAGCCAGTTCAGTGTCAGTTGGGTTCCACAAAACCTGCAATTAACTCTTAAGACGACAGTTAATGCACATTTGAAATAAATGCCACACAATACATTGAAATTTGTGAAATAAGGTATCTATTCTTCTAAAACAGAGAGCTCAAAAACTCAAGCAAATTTATCAAAGAGAAAATTCCAAGACTGCTATACATATTCTTTTGATATCTGCCAGAGACTACTTCCAATTCAAATACAGGTAAAAATTTCTGCAACATATAACAAAAAAATCGAAAATGGCGAGTCACTACAACTCTTCGACTTCTAACTCTGGCTTTCTTTCTTTCTTTCTTTAGTAAAATACCTTTTCAATCGTAAAAGGTAAAATAGAACAGAACTGGAAGAAACGTTAAAAAAATCACGTGCCAAAGGTCTATGCTTCCACACAAGGTATATAGCAAAAGGCAAAAAATACAAGGTAACTTCAGTATTCATACTTTCAGCTAGAATGAGACAATTCAAGAAGATTAATCCGACCTAAGTTCAACCCATTTAATTTTGGGATGAAACATGTCAGGCAGGTTAATCCAACCTAAAATTCAACCCACCCATAACCAACCTAATTCCAACCTGCCCAGATCTAACCCAAGCCAACCAGTTGCCACCTCATGATTCAAGCTTGATGTCAGACACAAGCAAACGAAGGCACCCAATCTACATTAAAATGATTGAGAAACAAAGATACCAGAAATATTGTACAACTGCAACCAGAACAAGATCCCAAATTGAATTTTATTTATTTCTCTCTCCAATTTAATAGTCAAATTAAAATCTTTCAACCAAATCCATACATTTTTCAGGAAAGAAATCATCAAGATAGAATTTTAAGGTTATTGACAACAAATTATAATATATCAATACCCAAACAAAAAATAAAACCTCCTGGGAGTAACAGACATATGGCTAAAGAGAGAGCCACCCACAAATCCTAATAACAAGATTTTAATCATGCATTGAAACATTGACCAATGTTACCCACATTATATTAAAGCAAACATAACATAAAAAATAAATCAAATCACGTGCATGCACATTTAAATGGGTGAAAAGACAACTACCATAAAACTTCCACAGCTTTTAATAGAACAAGATCCCCGGTTGATTTTCAGTGACTTTTATTCATTTGTCAAATTAAAATTTTTGGACCAAAAACCATATATTTTTCAGTCACAAAATCACCGAGATAGAATATTGAGGTTCTGGACCAAAAGTTATAATACATCAACATTCAAACTGTAAAATTCTACCAAGAAAGTTGGCCTTCAGACTCTTGAAACTCTGGCATCCCATTAAAAACAGAAATACGTGGATCAACAAATGGACATGGATGTGTACACACCAGTATCCTAATATTATATGTACAGAACACTAATTTTACAAGAAAATAAATTAATTACCATTTTTGCTGAATACCCACAAAATCCAACTCACAATTTCAAACATGCAAGACCAGACATACATGAAATATAAACAGATACTACTATATCTGCTGGGGGAAAAAAATGAGTTGTGAAATGGATTCTATTATTAGCACAATTAATTAACAGAAAAATGACAAATTTATTCAACAACAAAATATTAAAGAAAAATAAGTTTCATAAAGCAAGCCTTTAGAGAGCGCGTCAAAGACGCTGCCCTAAAGTAGTGTCTCTTTGTGCGGGTACTAAGGGCTAAATACAGCTCCAAGACAAAACCTTATGCCCATAATGGTTTCTCCATCTATGTGCACCAACGCTGGGAGAATATTGGAAAAGCCGTATTCTTTTTGCCCAAAAACACAATACATAATAAAGGCAGACATTTGTCTCATAAACTTGTGCATGTGAAGTAAAATACCAAGAGCACTAAATTCAATCCAATTCAACTATTCAAATGTCTCATTCCCTGGTAAACAAATTCTACTGTCAAATGCATCCAAAACGAACAATGAAATGTAAATTAGAGCCAAAGATGTTCGAAGGAAGAAAAGAAATAAAAACAATACAAGAACAGTTTTAAGAATTATTTTAGAAAGCTGTCACCTTAGTTTTCACCGGAACTATCTCCTCCTTAAATTTCCCAGATGCAGTTTCAAAAGCAGCTTTTCTACGTGATTCAACCTGAGAAAATAGTTAAGAAGTCATTAAGGACATAGGTAATTTGAAGCAACCATCAATTTGACAGATCTATTCAACTTACGGCAGCCTGATCTTGCTCCTGCCTTGTGACGCCAAAATGGTGGGCAACATTTTCTGAAGTAATGCCCATTGGAAGAAGACAATTCCGTGCTTGTTCCATTGATTTTGATAGCTTGGGCTCAAAACTTGACTATCTTGGATTGTTGCACACTTGCACATATACCACTCAAATGCCTAAATAACAGAATCACCAATAATCGTTACATGAACAGGTGCCACTCTGAAAGTGGTGGAAGTGTCTGGTGTCACGAACAACAATTTCTCGATTTGTTATGCCTGAGACGAGCTTCATAAATTCATGGCAGTCTCCACAAATACGAAGATTCTTGAAGATTCTGATTTTTTCACTTTGAATCTTGCTTATAAGTGCAAAACCCAAAGCTATTCTTTCACTATGGTGTAACAGGTTTTCGCTTTTTTCCTTGTCTGGTACATTCTGAAGTGCATACTTCGTGTTTGGCACATAGCCTTTTTCAGTAAGTTTGTGTCTCAACTCCTCCAACTTTTGATGGATATCCCATAGCCTTGGATGCGACACATCCTGAGACAAGAAGACATGTGTGTGCGCATCAACCTCAACCCAGCTACACCCAGGTTCCTTTTTAATACCCTTATTGGACATGGAAGTCCTGACCTTAGCAACAGCATCCCACCTCCCTTTGGTAGCATACAAGTTAGATAATAGTATATAGTTTGAATCTGTTTGAGGTTCAATTTCAAAAAGTTTTTCTGCCGCTCTTTCACCTAATTCCACATTGCCATGAACTCTGCATGCCCCTAGAACATTTTCCCAGATCAAGGCATTTGGAGTTAGTTTCATATCCTTAATGAAGCTTTCGACCTCATCAAATTTACCCGCTCGACCAAGTATATCAACCATGCAAGCATAATGCTCAATAGACGGAGTAATTCCATACAATTCACTCATCGAGTTAAAGTACTTTCTTCCATCCTCAATCAATCCCATGTGGCTGCACGCAGATAGGATTCCTATGAATGTGATTTCATCAGGAAGCAATTCTCCTTCAATCATTGTCCTAAATGCTTGAAGAGCCTTTTCACCCTGCCCGTGATGAGAATATTCACATATAATTGTGTTCCATAACACAGTATCGCCTGATTCCATGTCATAAAATAATATCTCTGCATCCTCAATGCACCCACATTTTCCATACATATCGATCAATGCACTGGCTACAAATAAGTCAAAAGACTGCCCACCCTTAATGACCAAAGAATGCAGCTGCCGGCCATTCTCAAGGCTTGCTATTCCGGAGCAAGCCCTCAAACAGCTAGCTAGGGTGAACTCATTGGGCTCAACACCTTCCCTCCGCATCTGATTGAAGCAGCAAGCAGCTTTCTCTCCCTGATCAGCTTGTGAATAACTTGAAATGAGAACGGTCCAAGCAAAGATGTCTTTCTCATCCAATCTGCCAAAAACCACTTCTACATCTTCCAAGGCCCCGCATTTGGCATACATGTCAATCAAAGCAGTGCCTATGTAACCATCATACTCAAAGTTTTCTTTAATTACGTGTGCATGCACTTGCTTCCTGAATTTGACATTTAAGAGGCTGGAACAAGACCTCAAAATGCTGATAAATGTGTACATGTTGGGCCTAAAACCTTCAGCAAGCATGTGCTTGAAAAGCTTGGGCCCTTGATTAGAGATTTCATCATCATGAAATCCTGATAAAAGGGCATTCCATGAAACAACATCCCAGTGAGTCATTGCATTAAAAACATGATGTCCCTCATAAATTGCTTGAAATTTCATGTACTGGTTAGGCCTCACACCAGAATTCCTCATCAAGTGAAATAGCTCCACTGCTTCTTTTCTCTGACCTTGCTGATCGAGGATACTAATAACAGTACTCCATGCTACAATATCAGGATTGGCCATCCTCTTAAACACACTGAGTGCATCATTTGCCTGCCCACATTTTGAGTACATATTAACAAGGCTACAACATATAAAATCATCATGTTCACCTCTTGTCTTAATGGCCATTGAGTGGACAGCCTGACCAGCTCCATGATCACCTGACATAGCCAAACCTTTTAAAACAATAGACAATGTATAGTTACTAAACCTCGTCTCTGATTCCGTCATTCCGCAAAACAGTCTCAAAACTGCCTCTCCATCACCCGCTTGGGCATAACCATTAAGCAAAGAATTCCACAACACAGCATTTTGTTCTGGAATCATAACGAAAACATTTTCTGCATATTCCATCTCTCCACACTTAGCATAAAGATCAACTAAAGTGGAACCAACGTACACATCTGAAAGTGCACCAATTTTAATCACATCTGCATGCAATTGTTTGCCAGACTCCAAATCTAAACAAATTGAACAACCTTTCAATACTGTTGCCAAAGTGAACTCATTAGGCCTCACATTCTCCCTCCTCATCTCACAAAACAATTCAAAACTTTCAATCCCATGCCCCAAAGCTACAAATCCCGATATCAAAGCAGTCCATGACACCACATCCTTTATAGGCATTTGATCAAGCACGTGACGTGAAGAATCCAAAGCTCTGCACTTTGCATAAAAATTAATCAAAGAAACCCATAAGTGTGAATCGGGCTCTGTCCCATTCCTAATTATCTGCCCATGAATCGCTCTACCCTCACTCAAACACAAGTCTCTGCATGCAATTGTTTGCCAGACTCCAAATCTAAACAAATTGAACAACCTTTCAATACTGTTGCCAAAGTGAACTCATTAGGCCTCACATTCTCCCTCCTCATCTCACAAAACAATTCAAAACTTTCAATCCCATGCCCCAAAGCTACAAATCCCGATATCAAAGCAGTCCATGACACCACATCCTTTATAGGCATTTGATCAAGCACGTGACGTGAAGAATCCAAAGCTCTGCACTTTGCATAAAAATTAATCAAAGAAACCCATAAGTGTGAATCGGGCTCTGTCCCATTCCTAATTATCTGCCCATGAATCGCTCTACCCTCACTCAAACACAAGTCTGCCGCACAATTTCGCAGCATTTCTGAATACCACTTAAGCTTCCATTTCCCATTCACCTTTTCAAGACCGGCCCTCGGGCTTGTATTCTTCCATTCTCGATCAATTAAAACCTCTGACTTAATAGCATACAAATTTCTGGGTGGCAACCTTTCTAACCGAAAATTCGGGCTTTTCACGCTAATAAAATCTCCACCAGCTCGTTCACATGTTTTCAATACAGCAGCACAATGTGACGACTGGAATCGGAGAGAATAAAGTACAGGTTTCTTGCCTGAGAATAGCGTTGAACGGTTAATGGGTACCGTATAAAATGTTGACAACACACCACAAAGCATTAAAGGAGGTGGGCTGCGCATTTGTGAAGATGCAAAATTGCATCCCATAAGTAGAAATCAGAGCTTCGCTGCAGAAAAGGATGCAAAGATTGAGTCTGCAAACTTTGCCACGCAAGAGCCTTCGAGAGAATTTGTCTGGAGTGGTGACAAGGAAGCTGCTGTGAAAGAGCAAGGTTTAGATGGCTGCGGAATAATAAAGAGCAAGTTCAGTTCATGACAATTGCATAGACCTCCCTGTATTTTCAAAAATTTTTAAAATCTCATAAGGTAAATATTTATTTTTCATTGTACACCTTAAATAAAAAAATCCGAGCAAAAACACAGAAACTCAGGGAGGAGAAAATTGCAGGAATGGAATGTTATACATTATGCTGCGTATGTTGTGCCGTGATCTCAGACCATAACAAAGCACTGAAATAAACCACATTACAACAGAGTAAGCAAATGCCAGAGTGTTTTCTCATCTAAAGGCAGGGGTCTGTACAACTGATATTCTCTTTTTTCTTGAATTAAAATTTTATAACTTATTAACTCACCTAACACTTCACTTCGGTTTACGAAGCAATGAAACTGGCAACGACTGATGGCCGTATTTCTATATCTTATTTTGGTGATTTATAATTCATCCATTATACTGAACGGAATTTCAATTAATCGAGTCTATAAGAATTATCAGTTAGATAACACAAAGGAATGATAAAATCAAAACATATACCAAAAAATAAGATTCTTGTAAGCATACTAGCACATACAAACGTATACATATAGAAAGTGAAAATTTATGAGCGAGAGAGGCATTGTATCGTACTCAGCAGAGGAGATTGAGGAACGGAGGGCGTTAATAGGCTGTGGGGGAGATGAGAGGGGTTTGGGGTAAAAGCACTAGTCAAAATACCAAATTTTCACATTGAC